AGAACAGAGCAATGAAGAGATATGCTTCTTAACAGAGCAGGGACTTTCCTTTTGGAGTCACTGTGGTGGGGTCACTGAGACTGGGGTCTCAGTGGAGATGGTAGTGGGGTCACTGAGACTGGATGTAAATCAGGATGAGAAAACTATCCACTTTTGTAGCTACCAGGGAAGTGCAAACTGTTTTTGCCTAATTTGAAGCCTGCTCAGATATCATGGGTTGCAAAGTTCATCTACAAACTTTAACATTATTAGGTTCCCATTCTGCGTAGGGCAGACTGTGGGAAGCAGAGAGCAGCAGAGAAAATTTCTAGTGGGCCAAATTCTGCTATTCCTTACACTGGTGCAAGCAACCCTGGTGAAGACCATTTTTTTACTCTCACTGGTAGGGCAGGATTATCGCCTGCAGTATATTTTGTAGTTAAGCGTCTCTTGCATGACATAGTGAATGCTACTGAGACACCTTCAAAAATGAAGCAGCAGACTCTGTATAACTTCCTGCAGGTGGAATGAGAAGAGGGTTGGCAGTCAGGGAGTCCTGAGCTTTCATCTTGGCTCTGCCACTTCTTTTCTGTGTTGACTCTGGCAAGTGCCTCAAGTTCCCCCATGTGTACAAAGAGATAATATCGACCTTGCAGTCATAGACGATTCATGCCTCCCCATACGGGGTGGGGGGGTTACAATCTAAAGGGGAGGACATGTGTCCACCCCACGTGTCTACCCTGCCCAGTGACCCCTCCTCCCCCCGGCCCTGCGCCACCATGCTCTCCCCGCCCCATATTACCTGCAGGGTGAGGCTCTGACCTTCTCTCCCTGCACCTCCCCCTCTCCCCCACACACACATTCAGCTACTCTCCCTGGCAGCCATGGCGGGGACAGAGGCCAAGTGAGCCAGAAACATGCTGGGGGGAGAGGGTGCTCCTGCTCGCTTGGCTCCTGTCCCCAGCAGCTAGGGCAGCAGTGGGCTGCTCCCCGCCCGGCCCCAGCTGCCAGGGACAGGGGCTGAGAGAGCCGTAGCCCCTCCCCCGCAGCATGCTGGACCCCTGTCCCCGGCGGCCAAGACTGGGCAGCCACATGCAGCTCCTTTGAAGTCAGTTGGTCTCCATATAGAGTCAGGGGTCCATGTATATACATTGCTACCGGATTGGAGCCTTAGATACCACAGAAATGGGAACCTCAGAAATGTGAAATAGACAGACTCCAGGGGGAGAAAAAAATCAGGACTCTGCTGTCTGAATCTGGGGGGTTGGGGAGATTTTGCTTAAATGGACTTTAAGCATCAGTGCATCAGAGACCTCAACAGCTGCACCAAGTTCAAAGGGCACAGAGGCAGCCACCTCCTCTCGCTATACTGTATAGCTGAGTTAATGAAAGATTTATGGTGGATCTACTCCAAAGACATACACTTTCCATTTGGGTTGTTCTTCCACCTCCTGCATTGTCCTACAGATGATTCATGATGTTCATGTGGCCACCATAAGAGTTTGGCAAAGGAAAACACCATGCATATGTACGATTCTCCCACAGGAATACGAAGCTTTCCTACCACTTGCAGAAAGCAGCAATAACCAGCACACAAAATGGGAGTAAATACAATGCAACTGAAGGCATGTAATTTGCAAATTACTACATGGTAATTAAAACAAATCTAAAAGGGAAATTCCAGAACTTTTTTTTACATAGATTTTACTAGTAAGATTGAGGCTCAACCAAAACATGGACAGCCTTGAATTTCCGGACGTTTGAAACCCTTCTCCGACGTTGGAGCCTGCCTCTACCAACGTCAACATAAAAAGAATAATTTGGCCTCAGAAAATGAATTCTTATCTGCAGAATCACTTGCTCCCTTATCAAGTTTTATAGACTCAAGTATTATATTTACTTGAGTTAGAACCAAGTAAGTGCAAATCTTAACCCACTTTCAGCCAGATTCTTAACTGATGTAAATCAGTGTAGCTCCATTAACTTCACTCAGCTATAATGACTTACGCCAACTGAGGATCTGGCCCTTAGTTCTGAGATGCCTTCTTAATAAAAGCATGCAATGCAGTACGTGGTTGGAGCTCAAGATTACAGTGCTTAACTGTAGCGCCCAGCCACTGAAGTTCACTTCCTGCTACCATTTCCTGTACCAGTCTTAAAACAACAGTCTTTTATACAGTACTGGTTAGTGAGTTCATCAATTTGTGTTGTGGTCAGTACAACAGAGCAAGCACCGGTTATTTTAACATTGCCAGACAAAAATATTTCAGCCTATCACCTAATGAGTTGCCCAGGGAAAAATCTATAATGCCCTCTTTGATATAGTGAAATAGTTTGTACACAAAATCCAGTAACATTTACCATTGTTCCTTATGGCATATTGTATGTTAGTATCAAATATGGGTAGAGTTCATTTCTCTAATGATGAATGTTGAGTTTTCTATAAAATCCAAAGAAGAAACTGAAAGGTCATCTCAGGAATGGCAAATTTAGGGTTTCAGTTTAGAGAGTCAAGTTTAATTTATCATTAAACACTTTAATAGCCCTTTAGCTCTGTTTCTTATTGCACACCAGGTCATACATCCTCAGTTCCCAGTTCAGTGGAGAGACTGGCCTTTTGACCCCACATCCAAATACACCCAGATTCTGGAGTGTTTGCAATTCAGATCAAAATTGTCAGATTGGGCAAATCGCAGATTCACAGCAGAAAGGGTTCATTAACATTTCTCGCTGCATGGAGATGTGTGTGCTAGTCTCTTTGCCAAAAAAAAATTTCTGATCCTCACCCCCGCTGGTTCTGTCAGCTGGATTGCTAGGGCGGCCTGAAACTTCACCTTTTAAGGATCACGTCATCTAAGCATGTTCAGAGCAGTTGTACACACTGTATAGTGTTTAAACGCCCATACTTGCTAGTGCCCTGTTTACACTAGCGCTCCCACTCTTGTTAGCACCGATGGAACTGAAACAGGGACAGCCAATGTGGGAAATTTTTGAGACAATTTCCCCATGCGGACAAGGCCCATGAGTTCACAAAGTGAAACTCAGAGATAATCATACTTTCCCTGTGTGCTGGTGCAGCTTAATTCCTTCACAAAGATGTAATCCTTGCATCGGCTCACTAGGGCAGCTTAGCTATCTGAAAGCGGAAGCAACAATGACAGGGGCACCAGAAAGATGCACAACCCACCGACCGTGGGTTTATTTTGGCGTTGTTTGCTTCTGAACAGCTTATCAGTGTTTATAAGATAGCATGAAGATCAGAGCTGCAGCACTCAAGCTACCCCTTTAAAAAAATATTCTTAGTGTTTCTCCAGCAGCTTGCACCCAAAGATCTCAAATACTGTTATAAACATTAATAAATTAGGTCTCACACCCTCACTCTGAGGCAGGGGGTTGCATTATCCCTCTCATTGTTTGCTGGTGCTCTCCTGTCTGCTTGTCTCCACCTGTTGGCTCTTGTTTTAGACTTAGACTGTAAATTCTTTGGGGGCAGGGACCATCCTTTTGTTCTATGTTTGTACCGCACCTAGCACTATAGGATCCTGGTCCATGATTAGGGCTCCTAGCTGCTCCAGTAATGCAGGTAATTATTAATACTAATAATAATCCCCAAACTGAAGCACAGAGGCCCTGATTATCAGCAGTGCTGAGCACCTGCAGCTCCCACTGGTTTCAAATAGCTGGGAACAGAACCATCTTTCACCTTCCCATTCCATGCCTTAATCACAAGAATCCCATCCTTCCTCTCTTCTTGGACGGATATTCCCTACATCCTGCTATTTGGAAGGTACTTCTGGCAAGAATTAAGGCATGTGTTGAAACAGATCCAAATTAATCTCAACTTCATTTGCTTGGGGTTAGCTATGAAGATATGAGCTATATTTTTGCTCTGTTATCAAAAAGACTTCCTTTGTGCAGTCAGTTTGTAAAAATGGTACACTGTATTGGAAAGATTTTCAATCCCATCACATTCTGTTGTTTGGAAGGCACCTATTGTTCCACTACCCACACACCATCTCCATTAACTGTCTCATATTTTCGCTCTAGTAGTACATCCATGCAATGCCAGTCAGATAGCAGTACATGGTGTTCCACATTCTGATGGATGGGGATCATCCCAGGTGGAAAACATCAATCTCAGACTGATTTTAGGTCTTTATTCTTCTTAGAGTAGATGCCCTTAGATTTCATGTGGTCAGAATTCTTGTTTGTTTTACTTTCTAACATCCATTTTGGTCACAAATTTCTCTAGAAGTCCTATGAAAATAGGGAGAGGGGATTTCAGACGCTGCTTCAAAATGGCATTGAGAGGAGCCATTAACCCTCTTTAGTCACTGCAAAACAGCTAGCAGTGCTATGCTACCAAAATACTCTCATGCACCCCAACAATTCACGGACATTGACGGAACAATGGCAGCACAGCAGGGAAAGAATCAACACACAGGCCTAATAAAAAAAAAAGTGAACCAAGAAATTGTTCTGACTGACATTAAAATTTCCAAGGAAGGATTGGTGGCCCATAGACCGCTGGTCTCTCCACTAAATAGCAACACACTTTCTGATGGTGTGTGAGCGACTGAGGCTGACCTCACTTTTATTTTTAATTAAGTCCATATTTTATTGGGCAATTACTGGCCCTAGCCTTTATTTCCCCCCCCAAAAGACAATGATCATTAATCATACCTGTTGTATTAAAATTATACGCTGCTCAAGAGTCCCAAGCCCAATTACTCCTATGAGACCTTGGGCACATCACTTAATCATTCCATGCCTCAATTTACCCAACTATAAAATGGGAACAACACTATTTGCCTTATCTTCCGAGGACCTATCACAGATATTTACTCCCACGAGTAACTTTACTTATATGATTAGCTCCAGTGACTGGAATGACTTTACTCATGTGAACTTTAGTGGGATTACTCATATGAGTACAGTTATTCATAATGTGTGACATATTTTTAGGATCAGTTCCTAAGACTATACATTTCATCAGAGAAACACTGCAAAATCTGCCTTACCTGACGTCTTCTCAGTGAATACAACTTTAGACTCGGCTGTGAAATTCTGACCAGACAGGATCATCTGCTGTCCGCCGTAAACTAGGCAGCTCTCAATATCTTGTCTTTCAACCATTGGAAGCTCATGAGCAGATCTTTGGGCTGTGGACAAAATGCAGACATGAATGAAATCAAATATGTTTTACCAGGACTTTCCAGATCTTCACAGAACTATCCACGGATTGATCTTGTCATCGTTACCATCCTCTTGCTGCCAAAGGAGCTTCTCTAAGATGCTAAATTTAGGTTTAAAAAGGAAAAATAAACTTACTCAAGACCTTTTATTTGGAAACATTCAGGAGCTGGCTCCAAAGTTGTAGCTGTGCTGGCCTTACTCCTTGTCCTTGACAAAGGACAGCTTGGATGAATGAGCTGGAGCGTGCCCATGTCTGTTTCCAAATAAATGGCCAAATTTTAAATGCTCACACACTACAATCCTGGAGCCTTAACATTCCACCTGCCAGAAGGATTCCACTGAACAACACTGAATTCCTTTTTTAGAAAACCAATACAAATCTCCACTCCTTTCCAGCAGGACAGACAACATGAAAAGGCTTCAGAACAATCCGTTCACCAACATCAATGCACAACTGCTGAGTACACGAAGCCCTGTGTTTGTACCCTCAAACAGCTGCTTGGAACAACAAGATGGGCCACTGCATGCACACAGCACCATTGGCACACAGAAGGCCCTGCAGTCCTGAAGCTGCAGCAGTGGCTGCAGCATGGCTCTGCTACATTCTATGACCTTGTGGGGTTACTTGCCGCTGCAGGGATAACTGAGTAACAGGTCTATGCACTACAGAAAGAGAAAGTTTTAACATAACAGGATAAACAACAAGGGAAAGACCAGCCAAAGGAGGATCAGTGTGGAGATATGTTATTGATTGATGCCCATCTATAACAGAGAGGGTGGTATCTACAGGATGGGGCAAGTTGGGACCAGGATGGGGCCTAGACCAGGAATATTTCTCCACCTCTCTGGATTTAGTTATCCCAGTCAGGCAACTGGGGAGAATAATACTTTCCTGCCTTGCAGGAGCGGGAGAGAGAGATTTATGAAACACTTGAGGCTCCTCTACAGAAATGTAATATAGCATCTTCCAGATCATAATCATCGATTAATATGAGTTAGAACAATTCATATGGGCAGGAAAAAAGCTTCTAGGAATCACGTCTCCATCCACATTAACCTGTTTCCTCAAGCAAGCCTGCTTGTTCACAAACAGCAGTATCTGAAAAAAGCCATGATCCAGGAGTCCTTCCCCAGAACAGACACCTGGAAAGGATCAAACACCGTCCTGGGACCAGGCCTGGTGTTTAGCCCAAATGTATTTGTGTGTGCAATTTTTTTGCAAGTGATGCTATGGAGGCTGGGTACAGGCTCAGCTGACAAACTCCACCTCCAATCCCAGAATACACTTTATGCTTATTTAAAAAATATAGTTTGGTATTTATCACAGTAACTGTGTCATTGTAGATTTTTTTTATTTTGTTTTGCTTTGAATATAGGACAATCTTATGCCTTATTGTGCCCATCAAATGTATTATGACAGCTGGACTAAGAAGATGCCAGTGAAGAGTATCTATGCAGATAACTTTCACAGAAGCTGTTAATTTCTTCCACATGGCTGTATGATTAATCCCTCTTTTTAAATACTCAAGGTTTTGATGAGTTCATAATTGGATTTATCACAAAGAAAGATTTATAACCCTGAAAGCTTAAGAGTAAATAATATTCATAAAAAACCCATCTACGGCATTTAAAGGAGGACACACTTAAACTTCACCTGGAGCAGTAGTATGTCCTCTCATTCAGTTCAATGTCGTGTCAGAATGAAGGAGTGATGTTTCTTTACAGGGTCACTATGGGCCTAATTTTCAATGGAGCCAGCACCCACCGCAGCTTCCATTGATTTCAGTGTCTGAGGCAGGAAGCCTTAAATCCAGTTTCCTTAAGGGCACATGCTTACTCCTGCTTCTGGGCCCTGCAGCTACAACTTTTTCTTTTAAAGGGGCCCACAGAGGGTAACAGATGCACTGGGATGTGTGCATGCATTCCAAGTCCTAGTTTTCCTTTATGGGCACCTTTAATTCTAAAGTACTTTTCACACTGGCCCATGCAACTATGTATTCAAAATCCACACTTGATTTGCCCATGCAGGTTCAGCAACTGTGTGTGCAACTGCATACACAAATAGGCAATAACAGTCATTTGCACGCACAATTAATTACCAATGTGCATATGCAGCGATCATAACTACATGTATAAATTAGGCCCCCAGTTGCAAGTGAATTTTGTGCGTGCAACTGCACCTCTGGTTCCTCTGAAAATTGTGCTTATATATTGGGATCATTTTGCCCATCATTGAAAGGCTGCCATTTCTGAGGGTGGAATGGTGACTACGCCCCCCCAAACCCCAAAATACTAGATGACAGTTTAGGACAGTGAAACATTCCATATCTAATTAAAATGTCAGGATCAGAGGATTAAAAATATCAGTACTAAGAGTTTCAATCACAGGGTCTGGTTTTTCTCCTTGAGGCAGGCATAAGGTTAATGGGAGCACTAGGGGAAGAGGTGAGGTCATAGTGCATAACATGGTTTATTAACATTTACCTGTATGTATCCAGCTGCCATTAAGTTGTTTGCAAATTGAATATTCTATTATTAATTATTATTATTTACTATTATTTTTGATGTATTATTTTCTCCCTGAGCCACAACTGTAATGGAACTGGCAAAGAAATTAGGATCTTAGCATATGCCATGTTTTCACTCGTAAGAGGACAGAAGTTTCACTGGTGTATTGCTTCCATAGGATTATTGTTTTCCTTTGCAAAGAATATCAATCACCAGTAAATCCCCTTCCTCTAAGGCTCACGATGGATGGCCTGTATGCAATAATTTCACATTATTTCTTCTTCTCCCTCAGGGGTCGGCACTTCATAAAGTTACCTCCAGCTACTGTAGTTTATGAGCTTGAATAAATAAAACACTGTTGATTTAACCAGTTGGGGTGTTTACTTTTAATAGCAACTGTTACTGACATAAGGCAGCAAAGCAAATGTTAAAGAAATACTCGCACTTGGCCTGAAGCAGCATGTCAACCTATTAAAGTGTGCATTATTTTTCTATTTTATTTGACTGTCTGAAAATCAAGATGTCATGGATCCTCAGTGCCAAGAAATACAATACGCCCAGCGACACGAGAGAAAAAGAGAACGGCTCTCGGGGGGGAGGGGCGGGCTGTGCTGTGCCTCTGCGAGCCCCAGCCTCACAAAAGGGGAGGAGGGAGGGAAAGGGGGAAGCAAATCGCTCCACGTGCCACGCTTCAGACGTGCAGAGCACACGACAGGCAGAATGTGTTCTGGCAGGAAGGGAGGTGGCTCCTACATCTGTCTGGTGGTGCAGCATGCTTTTCTCATTCATATTCATAGATCCCAAGGCCAAAAGGGGCCATTGGGATCATCTAGTCTGACCTCCTGCATAACACAAGCCAGAGAACTGCCCCCAAACAATTCCTAGAGCAGATCTTTTTAAAAAGCATCCAACCTTGATGCCAGCTAATGAGGAAGAAGGTGAGTCCATGCCTCCCCTAGCACTTTGGGATGGCTAGCAATGCCATAAGGATTTATGCTGCACTTAGGGTGCTTGTGGATTGGGATTGTGGCTGACCCCTGTGCAGGTGTGCATGGGTGTGGGGAAGCTCCTTGCACCTGCTCGCTTTCCCCTTCCTCCTCTGTCCAGCTGCAGAGAGCCAGCTACCATCTGCTCCTCACAAGTTCCCTGCAGAAAAGTTGGTGGTTCTTTGTATGAAGAAGTTGGAAGACAGCAAGTGGCTCAGAGACCTCATTGGAAACAATCAACCCTTGAGATAAGCACCACTCTGGGCCCGATCCTGCCCCAAGCGAGTGTTGTTAATGGCTGTGTAGCAGGCAGCATTGGGTTCCAAGTGACAAACTCTAGTAAAGCCTTACAAGAATTATTTTAAATAATCACTGATCCTTCCAGCTTTACCCGAGACCCACCTTCCCCATCACCCCAAGAGGTGCCGCTCTTCTCTTCCACTTTCACTCTGCAATGCCTCACTTTGGATAAGCAGATCTAGTCCTGCTTCAGGGTCATGCTTCCTCCATTGGCTGGGAGGGCTGCCAAGCATTGCCGTTTTCCCTGAATGCTGATGGGAGGATGACAATGGCACAGTGATTTTTGAGGTTCCAAAGTTTGTTTTAGTCCAGTGCAGAACAGAAACACTCAGATGTTTTCACAAAAACGTAATTGTGTCAATTTGGGGAAAGCGAGGTGTGCGGGGGAGGGTGGTTTGGGGGCTAGGGCCCTGGCCTGGGAGACCCAGAGAGTGTGAGAGTCTCTCTCTCTCTCTCTCTCTCTCTCTCTCTCTAACCTTCCCAAGGAAAACTTCATTGAAACCCATACGTCTCGGGGAGACATTTCCACTTTGGTGAAACAACATATTTCGGTGAAATTTCATTTAGCCAAAGATGTTCTGACCAGCTCTTGTACTGACTCATTCTATGACTAAACTTCATTGAGTCTAATGCTTGCCTGAGTCCCCAGAGAGGAACTTCCTAGGCATTCTTTGTGTGTGTGTGCATGGTGCGTGTGAAAGGAGCAGTGGGATGGAATGGGAGATGTGAAGAAAATCACTAAATTGATCTGCCTCTTGGGAGAAGTAGACTCGTGGGCTCGCCATGGGCAGCACCAATCCAGCCATCACATAAGGAACAGACACTCTGCTATGTACACAGACATGGCTGGATCCTGTCCCCTTTTCTCTTGGGGCAAGAGCATTTTCAAAAATTAAATATCCAGGATTAACATATATATGCTACCTTCACTGCACTAGCCAAATGCCTTTACATCATCAGGAATTATTCACATTGATAAGAATGTTAAAAGGTAGGATTTGATCCAAAGTCCATTGAAATCAAGAAAGGGCTCCCATTGACTTTGTTTGTCTCTGGATCAGGGGCTTATTTCTATTCTATATTGATTCTTATGTTGCCCTCATCACTGTATTATCTCGGCACCTTAATCTCTGGGGCCTGTTCCAGTCTAGCTGCAATAATTCCTCCAAGAG